AAAGTTAACAGAAAAAATACAACAGGCAAAGAAAAAAAAATCAAAGGGTATTAAACACAGAGACACCACGTCTGTTTAAGAGCTGGAAAATGAAAAGTATCAGTGAAGTCTTGCGTATCATCATAGAATCAGAGAATTGTAGAATCGCTTGGGTTGGAAGGGACCTTTAAAGGTCATCTAGTCCAACCCCCCCTGCAATCAACAGGGACATCTTCAACTCGATCAGGTTGCTCTGAGCCCTGTCCAGCCTGACCTTGAATGTGTCCAGGGATGGGGCACCTACCACCTCTTGGGACAACCTGTGCCAGTGTTTCACCACCCTCATCGTAAAAAATTTCTTTGTTATATCTACTCTGAATCTACCCTCTTGTAGTTTAAAACCATTACCCCTTGTCCTACTGCTACAACCCCAACTCTTCTTAGCCTTTGCTCACAGGAGAGATGTTCCAGCCCTCTGATCATTTTTGTGGTCGTTTTGGTGATCGTTATGTCTTTGTACTCTTTTCTAGGCATCCGCTATCAGTCTCCATTCTGAATTCCTTCCTCATATTGGACTCTGCTGGCGAAACTATGATGGGCTGGATGGATCTTCAGACTAATCCAGCACTGATTACTTATGCTTTTGTGTCTTGCTTTTGAAAGCAGTGCCATCTCCCTTTCCATTTGCCAGAAGCTGCCTTCGGACTGCACTGTAACTGCCCTACGCCTCCCAGATCCACAAGAGGACAGGTAGGGCTCTGCCAAATTCAGCCTTGGTACATGCTCCCACTGCCAACTGTGCCATTGGAAATCAGTCACAATTTGTCCACTCAAATCATACAACTGTAGGAAATTCAGGATCAGTTCCATACTGTCCAAAACAGTTTGAAAGCTGAACCTGCACATCCCTGACGACAAGTATCTGCAGGTTAACTGATTTTCTAGTATTTCTGCACACCTCCGCCCTCAGCAGCTGACTGCTGTCTTGCTAGGAAGAAACTGGAACTGATGGACTCCAAGGTACTCAGCTTCCAGTTGGCCTCTCACATTATGTATGGTTGAGTCCCCATCCCTGGAGGTATTTAAAAGATATGTAGACGTGGTGCTTGGGGACATGGTTTAGTGGTGGACTTGGCAGTGTTACATTAACAGTTGGACTCAATGATCTGAAGGGTCCTTCCCAACCTAAATGATTCTATGATTCTATAAATGGCTGGGACAGACATCTGTGAAGATTTGTGTCCTCATACAGAAATGCTGGTGCTGTTGTGGGTTGTCCTCTAGCTGAAAACACCTTTGTACATGGATAGTTCTGGCCAGCTCCTCCAAGACACCAGGTTAGGCTCACGTTGGCAACTGGCCCAGTATCACCTTTGCTTCCCAATCTGTTTTGTCCAGCACTCGCTGCCACCTTTGCTCTTTGGACTCAGAAATTCCTAAAAGGTCTTGCACCAATTCTTCCTGAATATTTGCTTGAAAGTAGTAAGTTTTAATTCATAGCCTAAATCCATGGTTTTCATATTCCTATGTACTTAACACAGCAAGCATGATGTGTAATTCAATGTCTTCTGCCAAGCAAGGCTGCACACAGGGATGGCTGCCAATAACTTCCACTCCTAGGGCTGCAGCCAGCATTTCTGTTTCAAACAAACTCTTAATAGATCATAAGAGATCGAGGATGAACAGTGCAGAAAAATAGAATTTGTGCTACAGATGAGGTGTCTGGATGAGGAGCAGTTCCAACAACCTGCAAGGTCCTTGGCTGTTGGAAGTCCCTTTGCTCCTGCTGTTGGCGCAACTTTCCCACATTAGCACATCAAGGGGTTTCTCTTGGCTCTCAGTGATCCTTTCAACTTGGCGTTGATGTTGTTCTAAGAAAGACACCTCTTGCTCTTCCACAGATGGCTTGGCTTTGTCTTTCTGAATTCCACCAAGTGTTTTCCATTACTAGACCACAAATAAATAGCCCATTCACTTTCTTCCACCACATCCTACTGGTCACATTTCTTCAAAACCTTGCAGTGAGGGTTCTTCTCCAAATTTTCAGTATCTTATCATTGTCTCTAAAGACAATTCAGGCTAACAGATCACTTTGCTAGGGTAAAAGAGGTTCTGGAAGAAAGAAGGTGGTGTGTCGTAGAATGTCAAATCTGGAATCCTCCCAGCGAAAGGAGAGGATAAGTGAACTCAGCTTCATTAATTTCTTTGGAATCATTGGAAAATAGAGGAAAGCCTTTTGTCAGAAGACAGTTAGGATAGATGAGTGGTGTCTGTTGGAAGGGTATCACAACAGGTGACAGCAGCACCAGATACAAGACACAAGGCTGCTCCTATCTCCTTTCCGATTGCCAGCCCATCACATCGGGTCTGGCTAGGATGGAGTTAATTTTCTTCATAGCAGCCCCTGTGGTGCTGTTTTGGACTTGTGAAGACGACAGCGTTGATAACACACCAGTGTTTTGGCTATTGCTAAACAGTGCTTGCATGACATCAAGGCTTTCTCTTTTTCTCACTCTGCATCCCTCCCAGCAAGTAGGTTGAGGATGGACAAGAAGTTGGGAATGGACATAGCCAGGACAGTTGGCCCAAAGTGATCAAAGGGATATTCCATATCACATGATGTCATGCTCAGCAAATAAAAGCTTAATAAAAGGAGGAGGATGCAGGGACATTTATGGTTACAGTGTTCATCTTACCAAGTAAACATTACGCACGAGACCAAGGAAATGGCTAAACATCTGCCTGCTGATAGGACACGGTGATTAAATTCTTTATTTTGCTTTGCCTGCATGCAGCTTTTGCTTAACCTGTTAAACTGTCTTTATCTGAATCCACAAGTCTTGCCTGTCTTCTATTTTCTCCCCATCTTGCAGGACAGGGGAGCAAGCAAGCAGCTGGGTAGGTGCCTGGTAGTTGCCCACGGTCAGCCCATCACACCCACATACGTGCGGGGAATATTCCCACTTTTCACACAAAACAATTGTCTCCTTGCTACTGCTTGTATTTGACAGGCAAGCTCAGCCAAACTTGCACTTCTTCCACACTTTCTGGAACAAGCACAGATGAGACTGCAGACATCTTCCTCACTGGTATCACTGGCTGCGCAACAAAATCATCTCCCGTAAATCAGCCTCTTTGCTTTGCACATTTACCAATAAAGGACGCACAACATCTGTGCACACCTGCTCCATAAGCAACTCAGCCTGTCAGGCTACAGGCTGCAGGTCACTGGTCCAACCAACACAGTCCTTTCCTCAGGTGCTCAGCTGTCTTGCATGTGCTCCCAGCTCTGTGATACTTGGGCTGCACGATAACATAGGTCATGAGGCCCGATTCATTCACATCGTTCTCTCCACTGTGCATCAGTCCTTCCATTAGGAATCTGTTTCCCTATGCTAAACTATGGGATTTCTGCCCCAAAACACTCACTCCGTACACGGTGAACCCATGGATGCCCATAATAATATCACCATTACTTCCTTGCTCTATCACAGGCACTTGCCTCTTATACAGTAACCGCAATCATTAAAGAGTTTAGCTCCATTACATACCTTCCTTCTTTACCCACCATTGTGTGTTTGGTTTATCATCTTCTACACTTGGTCTATCTCAAGCTCCTCAGAGCAGGGACCATCTTTTCCCTTCCTTGTAAAAGGCTGTCATCCCTCTCAAATCCACTTGAGTTTTTCACACTGTCAAGATGCATATTAATAAGGAACACAGGGCTGGAGAGTCTAGTAGACTGTATCTCCAAAGCGACATCCTTCACAAAACTCTGTACATATACTAGGCATCCACATGATAGTACAGAAAAACCTTGCAGATGAAAATTTGATTAAAATACAGAAAATAAGAATAGTAGCAAATAGTCTCCCATGAACAGAAATCAGCAATGGAGTTCTACAGGGATCGGTGATGTTCAATGTAACCATAAATGGACAAGAAAAACCAACGACAAATTCTGTTCGCAAAACAGTTATTCATGGCTGTAGCAATAAAGACTAAAGAACTGCCGAAGGGCCTTACAAGATTCAATGACATGGACAACAGAGGGTAGTGAAAGGCGTCCATACAACACACGACAGAATATGCTGGGAAAATACATTACAAAGATCTACAAAACTTATGATGGCAAAGACCGTTTGAGTGCACATTCTCTCCTACAATGCAAAACTAAGGTAGCATCAAATGGAAGTAGCAAGAGACATGTTTCAATAACGACTGAAAAAATTCATGGAAAAGATATTCATCAAGAATTACTAAAGATACCACCCCTGGATAAAGAAATATGCCTTTTTTGCTTCAACAAGTTATTATTCAACATAAATCTGTTTTTAAAAAATGCACTTCCCCCCAAAAAAACTAATCCCACAACCAAACTTCAACATTGCACATCTGGCAAAGGCCTTATAAAGGCTTACAATAATAACAGTAAGAGACACGTATCTAGGTAACTGTCAGCAGGGGTTTCTACTGCTTCCGTCTTCACATCTGTAAGAGGTTTTGTATAAATATCTGTATTATTACTGCCTAAAGTCTAATTCCCAGATCACTTAAATATCATTTATTAACTGACCATTGACCTTTTATGACAATTGACAGTTCTCAGGAATTCACAAAAGTTGTCATGCACGTTAGGAAAACAAAAAAAATATCTACAATTGGGGTTTGCAATTTACATTCAGTTTCTAAGAGATAGGCCATGGAATTCCAAAGTGGGAAAGTTTATTTGCTAGGACTAATACAGAAATCCCTCAATTCAAAATATAGAGAATACACTAATAAAAATGCCTATCTTCTGCATTCTTTGATACATATAATGTCCCAGAAGCAGAAATGGTCCAGGTCTTTTATTTCTGGTATTTAACAAGAAACCTATACTTTTCTAAATACATACATACTGTAAATCTCATTAAGATCTTCCATCTACCAGGAATATTCATGTTCATTTAAACAAGGAATTTCTTCTTCAAGTCACTGAAATGAAGATGAAAATGGTTCAGATCACCAGCTTCAGTATTTCAGCTTTGCTGCATTTTTCTACGCATCTCTTCAAGCGCTGCTTCTCGTTCTCTTAAGAGCTGTTTAAGTCGTTTTATTTTTTCATCCCGTATTGTTTCATCCAAGTCTGGGGGAGCTGAAGGGAAAGTATCATTTCTGAAAGAACCTTCAAGAACTGAAGTATCACCTTCACAAGACACTATAACTGGAGTATTTGAGTCTGTAATGTCACCATATTGAGAGTATGGGTCTTGCTCAGAGTCCTTCCCTAGAGATGGTATCACAAAGTCTGTGGAAATACTTTGCTGCGGTAAGACTGGTGGAGGTGAAACACTTCTGTCAAGTACACTGGAACTTGAGCTGGTATTTTCTGAACTTGGACTTGTGGCTGATTTGACTGAAGTTTTCCTTCTCTTTCCACTGTCTGACACTGATGAGGATTTTATTTTTCTTTTCTTAGTCAAATCCTCTTCCAGATCCACAATTATCTGTACAGTCAAGAAACATACAAAACACACTTCTGTTAAACTGAGTATCATTCTACATTATAAGACCACAGTTCACTAAGCAGAAATTACAAGTTATTTGTTGCAAGCTTCTTAGAATTACTATATGGAAGATGTTTTTTCTAGCAATTTGAGCAAACATACTTCCGTGTTCACTATTCTTCTAGCAAAGATTCCCAGTTAACAATTCTAGAACATTGAATTCCTTCCTTAGTCAACAATGCCCTTCTGCCTTTCCTGTTGCTGCTTAAGTTCTTTAACTGTAGTGCAAGACAAAAACTTTCTATCTAACTCGATGGGAAAATTCCAAACGTAGAAGAATTCTTCATGCTTACATTTCCAAAAAGCTCAAGCATTAGCAATAATGTCCATTGCAAGACTGCATTCCTCCCAGCTGTTTTGTTATTGAACCATGAATGTACTTCACCAAGAGCAGCCAGCAGATCTGCTCAAAGGAGGGCTCTTAACACAGAATTACTAAAATCTGAGAAAGCCTTTGACTGGGTAGAGTAGAATCATACAAAAGGAAGTTTAGAACACTATGGCTGAACAGAACTACTTTGGATGGATAAAATTATTTTAATGCATTAGGATGGAAGATCTTACATCAAGGGAACCCTTCCAGAAGCATCCAAGCAAGTTCCTAGCCAATGACAAAGGACTAAGTTTATAAAGACATAGTCAGGTACACAGGTAAATTTCTTTTTTTAACAAAACCACACAGGACTAAGTAGGAATCTTTCTTTGGAAGGCAGCCACATCAAGTCATGAGTGACTGAAGTGCCTTGACATAATGGCACTTGACTGATTTCAAACTCAAGGGTAAAGCCTCACAAGAAATTATTCTTCTATTATTCCGTTTATATCCACTGCACTACTGGATAAACGCAACTGTTTGCAGAAGGCTAAATATAAATCAGATACAGAGGTATGGTTTCTATTCCAATACAGACTATCCCTTCAACTCTTCAGCCACCACTAGAGGGTCCAGTCTTCTTCAAAGCATTTGTTCTTCAAATTTCCTCCAGTGGAACCCAGAAAAGAGGATAAAAATTCTCAGATGGTATTCAAGTCATACCAAAAATCACACAACTCTGCTGTGGTACACAAACAAGTTCTAGGAACAATTCTCACAGGGACCATAACAATTACTGACTTGCCCTGATGAATCCAGAGGTGAGAGGGTCCAAATCAAAACACAATTCTGTATTGACAGTACATATGCTGTTTTCTGAATGTGCTGCAGTACACGTTAGCACTGAAAAATTTCAAGATACCTTTTCCTCTTTAACACATTCCTGATGTTGATTTATTTCCACATCTAATGATGATGAGCTGCAAGAATCATTTTTCGTTTTCAAGTTGTTACTGGAACAAACCCTTTCTTCTGTTTTCTCATAGGAGGTCCTTAATGGTATTCTCTTAAGGTACACTCTCTCCTCCTTGGAAAGACCAAATTTTTTCCTTAATTCCAAGTATTTTTTCCAATGTGGCTTCTCTTCATGTTTGATTTGAATAACCCTTCCCGGTGAATTCATCTTTTCAGACTGGATCTGAAATACAGAAACAGTGAGAGCGCCATCAATCACTCTCTCTCCCCCTCTCCATACATATGAACTAAAAACTAGTTCTAGAAAGACAGGTGAACATTTGTTTTGTCTGCCATTCTCCAAGAGTTACACTTAGCACAGGTAAGACAATTTTGAGAAATTATATACATACTATCATAGATCTAACACTCTTGTTAGTTATTTAAATCCCCAAGTACATTGTGGAACATCCAGAAAATGCAGAGTCCAACTAGTAAACCACCGAAGAAGCAACAAGGGAATCACCTGTTCTAAAACTTCCAAGTAACGAAAGAAGATGATGGAAGATCAGACAGTGTCTTTATAGCGTCACTTTCAGACTGCTGAATGCATTTCATATTTGCTTGTGGTGATAATACTAACAAAGCACTATTAACCATCTCTTGTATCTAATCTCATTGTAACCTGATCTGTTTCTGATCTTCAAGTTCAATCTCACACCAGTATGTGGGGCAATCCATTGGCTTGCAAATTTACAGACTAAAAGCAGCAAACATTTGATATGCTGTTTTTCACATAGGTTAAAGCAAATGAGAATGCTAACACCTGGCACCACACAGCAATGAAGAAAAAAAAAAATATCTATTTTAACCATTTTTCAGGTGAGGAACAATCAAAAAAAGAGGCCCTACAGTCTGTTGTAATGATTAAATGTCTAAAATTTGCACAAATACACTTAGCTGACATTTCTCTTCTGCGTGGTCAACACAAGCAAGTATAAACTAGCTTCAGAATGATTTTTTTATCTGGAGGCAAATTCATTCTGGCCTCTTGACCAACTGAAAACTTGACCTACAATCCTTCACAGGTAGAGTTGTGGGCTTTGAAGCTAAGGACTTTTCACATATTTTCGACGTTATGATCTTAAAAGAATACGTAGGTCCAGCCTGAAGGGGGAAGCCATTAAAGATCTCAAGAGTTTCTTCTGCCCGACCTGAAACCATGAGTCAAAGGAGGTGGATCATGGTATGAAAGGAAGGAAATGCAGTTCCTGCCTTCGGCTGTCTGAGCTAGCGGAGACTGAGGCTGACTTAGTGCAACACCAGAGTTTGTCTCTGGATGAGAAATCCTGCTCTTCCACCTTGTTTTCCTTCTGTGTAGCTGCAAACTTCTCTACCTTACATCACACCTACAACACAGTCAATGGCTGTGCTGTGAGAATGTGGCATCAACAACATTAGAAAGCAGATAGCTCCCAGAGCTCAAACAATGAACAACTTTCCTATAGTTTCAGTTGTTACCGACAATTTATCTTGAGAAGAAATAAAAAGTCATCTTTCCCCTGCCCCTTTCTTCTCTTTATGCATTTTCTCACTTGCATAGTGCAATCTTATTGGGGAAAAAAAAAAATCATTTATTGATTAGAACCACACTTCAGACCAGCATTTCCAGTGACAGGATAGTTTGTCACAAAAATCTGTGAACTTATTAATAGCCGTTTTATTCAAATAGAACCAGGACCACATAACAACTTAGCAGAGACTGAGATGGGCATGTTTATTGGAGAGAGTTACCTTTTGCCAGTCTTCACTGAAAGCACACTCTTGCTTAGACTGAGGTAAAACAGCACTTGCTGCTTTGGGGGAATGAATCTTTTCTTTGTCATTTTGGCATACATTTTCCTGCGTCCCTACCGCTGTAACAGGGGTCACTCCACTTGAAATGTTCTCGGTGAAGGGCAAACTCTTTCTCTGGTTTACAGTGGAATTCTGCTGATTAGCACTTGATGTCACCAGAGCTGCAGGTGCAGATTTTAAGTCATTTCTTAAGCCAGTTGGTGAAGAATTTTTTGAGTTTGTACATGGTTTCGGATCTTTCTGAGACAACACCATTCCCTTGCTTTTTGACAATACCAGATTCACTACTTTATTGGTTATTTTATTGACTGCAGTAGAATCAATTAGCGTGGATGTCTCCTTTTTAAGTGAAGCATCAGAAGAGGAAGATGTTTGTTTGTCAGCTTGGGCTGATAAAACATCCGAGCCTCTTTTGGTCAACAAATAGACCCTCCCATTGTACATGACCAGAGCATTATCTTTAATAGGTGTGATTTTTGTTTGGCTTCCACTGGGACCACTAGAACTGAGTGGTAAAATATTTGTAGAGTTAACTTCTACATTCTTCATGTCTGACAAAGTTTTCAAGATCTTGGAAGCCACATTATTTGATGACTTTACAGGAATAAGGCAAGGCGCTGACGACTGTGGACCTTCTTGTACAATCCATTTCATTGGAGTTTGCTGGCACTGCTGACCATCAGATGTTACTGTCTCAGGAGAACAACTATTTCCCTTTTGTGTAGCTGTCATTATTAATGTTTTTGAAACTTCTGTGGCAGGTTTTGGGCAAATGGTTTGCAAACGCTTGGGAAGTACTGTTTTCACTGTGTTCACTGGTGACACGTAAATAACAGTTGGCATTTTTGTACTGTCAGCTCCTCCAGACACATTTGTTGCCGCAGCTGCAAGTATTTTTTGCTGTATTGCAGGTGGTAAAAAAGAAGCTGGGACAGATTTCACTTCTGCATCAGCTGGTATCTGGAGGTGGTGGCCAGAGGGCAATACTGGAGACTTCACAGTAACTGGAAGACTTTTTGTGTTTACCACCATGTATGCACTGTTACTCTGGTTAGATGAACTTGTTACAGTAATGTTCTGCAAAGACAGTCTATCAACTGAAACACAACTGCTCTGGATGTTAGCAGCTGATTTTGGAATTAAGCTTTCTTTTTCAGAACCTGCACTAACACTTTCCTGTTTGTCTAATGTCCTTGTAAGAATAATCTTTCCAGGATTAGGAGACTGAAAAACAGGTATGTTAACAGATGAAGGTGCAGTAGTATTGGCAAGCTGTGTCTTAAAAGTAAGATGGACTGGACTAGAAATATTCGCTTTAGAGTTATTTGGCATGGCTGAAGACTGAACTATTGGCACAAAGCTTCCAGAAGATTTAGAAATTGGAAGTAATTTCAGAAGGTTTTTTCCATCTGGTCCCGTCGTCTGAACTACTCGGTACATACAGCCTGCAATGCTTAACAAAACAAAGAAAAGAGAAAAGAAAAAGAAAAACGAAAGATAGCATAAGTGAACACAGCATAGATATTTTAATTAATGTGCATCAGTGAATTGTATACCCAGTGTTGCTATGCCTTAGAAGCAGACTAACTACTGAAAAATGCCAGCTCTGATCTTCAGGAATTTCACTGGCAAAAATCATACTGATCTACTTAGTGTACATTTTGGGTTAGCATTTTAGAATACCACAGACTATCTGAAAACAATGTCCAAATTTTACATCACAGAGTAGCAAGAAATGGCATCCTTTTCAGATAAAAGAAGTTAAAAGACCCAAGAAAACACCTTACATTATCCTCCTCTTCTACTTACGGGGCCTTTCATTCTGAAAAACTAAAACATCATCTCCAGATTTCACAGAGAAGCTGTATTTTTTTGCTTTCCCATCTCCTTATTACTATTAATACCCCTACTTAGTGAAGTACGAATTTCAGGAAAGCTTCAGGAAAATACAGGTAGATGAGTTGCATGGCAAGATGGAAGCAGAAATTACTTCAGACATATATAGACAAAAAAGCAATTAAGATGCAGAATACATTTACTTTCTGGAACTGGATGTAGGGTGACCAACTCATGCCTACATCTCACCTGCTCACTCATTGTTTAGGCAGATATAAATTACAAAGGTGATCATCTTCAAAGAGATGGAAAAAAACCAAAACCCTCAAATGCTATCAAGGTACATACATTTACGAGAACAGAAGTCTAAGTCTAGGAAGGAAAAGGCTTCAAAAACGAGGAGGAATACATGAAAACGGCACAGTGAAATGTGAAGAGTAAATACAGATTTTTTTGCAGGTGAAGATAGGAACTCAAAACAGGAAAAAGACAGATAGAACCTTGTCAAACCAAAAGTTAGTTTTGACTGCTTCAAATGGCAAGATTTTCCAAGTCCATTGCAAGACAGAGAATCTTTTTCACTTAAGTGAGTTTGCCCAAAGGCAGGCATCTTCCCCAAAGAACTGTCGGACTCTCAGAAGAACAATCTAATGCCCAAAGCACTGCAGAAGCAACATCGCATGTTGAGACATACATGACCAAAACAGAGTTTCCCTCACTAGTAAAGAAGAGACCGAATGAACTGGAAGTAGGTTTCATGGTCTTGACATCAGATCCAGAATGATTAAAAGGCAAAGCTGCCCACTCCATTTTCAGTCACCAAGAGCATTCTAGCTCTGTCCTATTGACTTTCTACATCAATAAATGCATTGAGAACATGGACATGAGATTATTTCCCAGTCCCAGTCCAGAAGACATCAGTATTGTGTTCTGTTACTGTCAAGTAGTGTTGAAACACTGGCATTTTTTCTGGCAGTGAAGCGTTTGGGCTTCCAACTCAGCTTGGAACAGAGTGACTAGGAGATAGCAATCATGTGTCCCACCGTTGTATCTGCTCAAGAAGTCAGTCAAGACTTTGCCTTTTCCCATCAAGTGAGAAGTCACAAGGATGCTCTTCACTCCCAGAGTTGAATAGCTCCTGCTACGGTCTGAGGGGTCACATTCCCCTTGGTGGTCGACATAAATAACAATGCTATTGTCTGTCTAAAACATAAAGGCTTTAGATATGCAGAGCTTTCCTCACTGTAACCTTGAATTAACTCCCATGTCCAGTATTTTGGTACAATGCGTCATTTCTAGGCATATTGTGTGAAAAAGCAGACGTCTACATGATTCATCAGTCCAGTGGGCAAGAAATTCTGCTATGCTTTTGTTTTAAAAATAACGTACTGAAAATGAAAACATGGGCAACATACCACATAGTTCCAGTGGAATCTGCCATCACAGGTTTTAGTAGTAAAATGGAGTTGGATGTTTTGGAATCAGAAATGATAGCTAAGAAGGACTAGCACTGAAGGGTAATGATCTTACAAAAATATTTTTGCTTAAGTAAAGAGCAACTAGAAATATTTGTATGTTTGAACTTAATTAAAGCAGAAAAGGTTCACTTTTGGAGGCACTTTAAACCTCCTAGCATTATGGATAATGCAGAATTAGGAAGACCAACACTAAGCTCCTGGACAACTTTTTGCATCCATAGCTGTCACATCTTTGAACCTCTCAATGCTTCTTTAATAACCCCGTGATCTACAGTCTCAATTTCTCTTCTATATATAAGAATTAGTATTCTGAAAGCAAATTCAGAAGGAAGTTTTCAGCAAGCTCCACAGACATGGAACTGCTGAACTACTACAGCTTTTACAGAGCAAACAGGCGCTTACCTCCACTAAAACTAACTAGCACTGCAAATAGGCATCTAAGGGCAGAAGAAACCTCCAAAGAGGCACGCTCCTCCACCTGTCAAAGCAAGGGGATATCTCTAACTTTTGGGCAAGAGGAGGGGGGGTAGATCAGCGAGAGAGGAAGCAAGAAAAATGGAGAGAGAAAGAGAGACATGAGATAGAGGATGCATTAATATTTTCTTCAGTAGCAATGTCCGTTTCCATTGCTCACCTCCACTCTTCTCGTTTCTACTTTAAGCCACTGTTCACCTCCCTTTCGATAGACTTAAGAAACCTGTATTTGACACTGTGCTACAAACAGGATCTTTTAAGTAGGCTGGGGAACAGAACTCCTTTAAAAAATCCAGTTTGTCTGAACTCCAGATCATTTTGCTTTTCATGATTACAGAAGACAACTGCAGCTTTTTATCTTCACACTCTATGCAGAAAGAGCAAGAAACCCCAAAATTACAGTTTTCTGGAATATAACATTCTTCTACTTGAAACAAATAGCAAGTACTTACAGGATTGCAGAATTACAAAAAGCTAAAAGATAGACAAGAAAGAAGGAAAGGAAATATTCAGATGAGATATTGAGAAATTGTATTCACACATATTTACTCAAACATCTATGAAAAACAAAGGAAAGATGTCATTGTCAAGTTTTTAGACTCTTTTGCTACTTCAGATACAAGCTGAAAATGCTTCACCATCCATATCTCACATCACTAAAGACTATTCCAGGTGATACAAAGAAATAACCAAGATTGATGTTTCATGTTACCAAAATAAAATAAAGCATCTTCAGCTTTTTCATACATTATTGAGCAAAGAAGAAGAGAGCTAGCAGCTATTTTAATTCACTCTGCAGTCCATTGTTTCTTTGAAGAATATGTTTTAAGAATCCTTTAAGCAGAGTGAAAAAATCTTGCCATCAGTATCCCCCTTTTAGAGTGTCAGATTAATTTACTTTAAGAATAGGCTAATTTCTTTACTAAAAAAACAATAATAGGAATTCTGTAAATCATGTCAAGTTGTACTTGGGGATTTTTACCATAGTTACTGAAGGAGAGTTTTCTTTCTCCTCTTCATCCTCCTTCACTTCCCTACCCCACAAATATAAACCTCCTCAAATTTCATATATTAACACTTAGAAATACTTCCATTGTTATGATACTTTAGCATGGCCCAAGGTCTGAATATAAGGCAGATCCCTGAACAAAACTTGAGGAAAATAAGCTCATGGTAGAAGAAGAAAAAAAAATAACAATGGACTGGTAGAAATCTTATCTAACGTCACCACAGAAACCACCAAATTCAGGTAGCGTGTTTTCTTTTAAATAAAAAAAAAAACCAAAAAACCACAAAACAAAAAAACCCACAATTTATTTCTATCAAGCTGCAGGGAACTGTCAACTAGATGACATTTTTCTTGACCGAGAAAGGTCATTATTTCTTTAGGTAAATAGTCCGCATGGCAATACTGAAAGCTTCCTAGTGAACAATGGAAATGGCATTGAGCAAGCTACAAAGGCAGAGATAACAGAAAGCAACAGGAAGATTTATTTATTTATTTATTTATTTCTATCAAGCTGGAAAAATAAAAAGAAGAATAGCTTACATTTCTCTTAGTTGAAACAGAATTCTTGGTTTCTTTACTTATATGATCAGGCACACCAATTTTATTGTCTAAAGTTCTCATCCCATATTATTTATTCATCTTATTAAGCAGCAGGCTCAAATAGCAAAACACTGAGTATTTAAACAATCATCTTCTGTCCCTAATTTTTGCATTACAAAAATATCCTCAGGATGTTTTCAGTAAATAAAACTATTTGGTAAATTCATTGCAACCACCAGGGCATCCCAACACATTACTGCAACAGAAATCATCATCGTGCCATCTAAAAAATATACCAGTGGAGATAAAAAAACATAGAAAGACTTGCTCAAACTTCAATTATGCTTCAAAGTTGTCTGAAGAAACATTCCCTTCCGGCAGAAGCAAGCTACTTTTTAGTCTGCCTTTACTTCCAGCTACTACTTCAGAGACAACTTTCATCTTCTATGAATATGAATAAATCAAACAGGGACTACCAGCCACTACAAACTTCAGAGAACCAACTTCATTTATTTTAATGGGTTAAGGTGAATCCAAAAAGCGGCAAAACAACATTTATTATAAATTGGAAGCATACACCTAGGGACAAAGCAAAATTAACTGACTGTATTAGCTGAATATTGTAACAAAATGTTTTTTTGTTATTATTACGCGAAGGAAATCTGAAAATTTATGTTGAGTTTGCATACGAAGCTAGGAATCTTGTCTAGAATTTAGGTCCAAGCTATTCTTAACAGCTTTATTATAAACCATAGCTCTACCCATCAACGACCAGGTCCTCTTTCAGCCGTAAAACATTTGGCAAAATTGCAGAGAACATCAACGGTGACAAAGCTACATCCCACGGTCACAGCAGCCCCATGGCTCTAACGGGCTAACCCAAAACTCTTCACCTAATAGACGCAGCAATCAGAGAACTCCTGAAAGACAAGCAAAATGCATCGGGAGCCAAAACACGACTCCGGCAGTCAACCCCTGCTGA